GCTTCACGGTATTTACCCCCTAGCTTGGTATTTACCCCCTAGCTTGGTATTTACCCCCTAGCTTGGTATTTACCCCCTAGCTTGGTATTTACCCCAGCTTGGGTATTTACCTCCCTAGCTTGTATTTACCCCCTAGCTTAGGTATCTTACCCCCTTAGCTTTGGTGCGTATTTACCCCCTAGTTGGTATCTTTACCATCCTAGCTGGGTATTTACCCGCCCAGCTTGGTATTTACCCCTAGCTTGCGTATATTACCCCCTAGCTTGTGTATTTTCCCCACTAGAATTGGTATTTCCCCCTAGCATTGGTCATTTCCCCCTAGCATTGCGTATTTACCCCCTAGCTTGGTAATTTTACCCCCCTAGCTCGTATTTACCCCTAAGCCTTGGTATTTACCCCCTAGCGTTCGGTATTTACCCCTAGCTGTGGTATTTACCCCCTGCTTCGGTATATTACCCCGCTTAGTCTTAGCGTATATTACCCCCTACCCTTGCCGTATTTACCCCCTAGCTTGGTATTTACCCCCTAGCTTGGTATTTACCCCCTAGCTTGGTATTTACCCCCTAGCTTGGTATTTACCCCCTAGCTTGGTATTTACCCCCTAGCTTTGGCTATTGTTTAACAGTTGTTACATTCATTTACACACCCTGTCCTTATTCTTTACGGCAATCATAATCCGTATATATTTCACCCTGCCGCGGCTCAGTGTCAGTTGCGCCGCGCCGTCGGCGTGCGTGCGTGTGCGTGTGTCGCGTGTGTTACATGGCGTGGCGTCGTACCGCGGCATGCATTGACCATTCGCCGTCGTCGTTCCGTTGTCTGCATTGTTGATTTTGTTCTCTTGACGTCACAGCCGTCGTGGCAGATCGACCTTCCAAAGGCACGTGCGTCGCCGTCATACTCCGTCGATCCACGCAGGACGCGCGGCTGCCGCTACGTCGGCGTTGCGTGGACAGTTCGTCCGCTGGCGTCGGCAGATACCTTCACTTGAGCCGTGTGGTCGTCGCCCCGCCATCACACACATGTTTGCCGCAACGGACATTGAGTAAGTATGATGGGCGGGAGTGGAGAGAGGTGAGCGAGGAGGAGGGAAGGAGGGGAGGGGACAGAGGAGGAGGGAGCGAGGGAAGCGTGGCAGCGGATGGAAGGCGCCATTGGGAATTAAAGGGAGGGGAAAGATATTGGCGAACAGAAAGAAAGCGGAGAGAGAGCAAGATTGAGAAGAAAGAGACCCCGCGAGAGAGAGGAAAAAGAGTGTGTGCAATGTCACTGTGATGTGTGTGTGTGCAGATGCGTGCGTGGTAGGGTGCGGCGTTTGCACCGCTCGAGAGCAGGAAATGGCGTGAGAAGCGGACAGACAGACAACGAGACACCGACGGGATCATGGAATAACAAACTAAGGAACTAGCACACCCAGTACTCATTCACACCGGGGGGGCGCGGCGCCGCTCGGGCAATCGGAAACACACGTTGCTAATGCACGTAGTTTCTCTCTCGCTCAGGGGGACAGCTCTCCTGAATGGTACAACGTGCTTACGGTCACATCGTCGCCGCGCCACCTCCGCGCGCATCCAGCGACTCCTTCCGCCAGGCCGGACGCCCACAGAGGGACAGAGACGAAGGTCTTCTAGGCAGCGCAGGGGGCCGCCAGCATAGCATCCAGAGTGGCGCCACCTTCTGCTTGATGCCGCGAGAGAGCTGGAGAAGATGGCAGCGTGTTTCGCCGTGCCGGGACTAGGACGGAGAGCATCGGTTGAACACAACAACGACAAACAAACAAACAAACAACAACGGGAGACAACAATCCATCGCGCTGCTACTAGGGGGTAAATACCAAGCTAGGGGGTAAATACCAAGCTAGGGGGGAAATGTCAGGAAATAAACAAAACAGTTTACAGGCACAAGCGACCGACCGAACAAACGAACGCGCTCGAAACGCGGAATCATTGCCGGCGAATAAAAACGCGAGGGCGCGCGGCGGAGGCAGGGAGGGAGAGCTACGGTGACGCCACCTACCGGAGGACGCAGTACTCGCGCGTTGGCTGCGGTGGCATCGCCGACTCCATGTACTGGAATATTTCCGTGCGCTTGTCAAGCTTGTCGACGACCTTCCACTTGACAAAGTCATCGTCCCACAAGTGCCTGCAGAGAGAAGCAAAGAAACTCATGAGAAGAGCTCGCTCACACTTCCCCGTAGATGGCGCCACGTGTACGGGCCCATTCTCGCGCGCGCTGTTGCGCACGGAACGTGGATGCCTTATACTGCTCGAGCGGTTGTCGGGAAATATCTCGCTCTCCCTTTACACGTTGCACGTAAAACTGAGCGTGTTCAGTGTTATACAATGTCTGGGAGAGCATCATATCATCATAGCATATCATAACGACCTCGCTCTTGTAATCATTACATAGTTCATAGTGCAAGTCGAAATTCGGGACATCGACTGTGCAAAGCGAAAGAGCCACCTCCCACCCAAGATGGCCACCTCCCACCCAAGATGGCCACCTCCCACCCAAGATGGCCGCCTCCCATCCAAGATGGCCGCCTCCCACCCAAGATGGCCACCTCCCACCCAAAATGGCCGCCTCCCATCCAAGAT